CAAACCATTTCGACAGTACAAATGATGACAACATGAAGCTCATACGACCAGCGCACGTGATAAAAACGAAAAAAACGAACATTTTCATTTCTCAACGATCTCCCTCTCAAGGTCTGAGGATCAGCACAGAGGTACGTATCTCCGTTAATTGTTAAGAGTTCATTCAGTTCAACTCTAATTTTAGTAGCCGATAGGATAATAACAACAAACATATTCAGTCCTATTAATATTCAACTGTCGGCTGATTTCGCCTAGATTCAATACAATATGAAGGCCATAGAATCCATGTGAATGACGAAATCAATGTTATTGTAAGATAACAATGTTACTAGTGATAAGGAGAAGAATAAAAGCAATCAAACAACAATAATTAAAACTACCTAAACAGGCAAGAATAATGCTCTCAGTTCCACCAGTAGTAACAGTGCCACAAGAAGAAGTACCACCATTAAGCATCGAGCAAACCATTCTCACAATCTCAGACTCCATTTTACGAACACCAGGAAACAGCGTCGGATGGAGCGGATTCGAGTAGGAGAATAGTGAGAATATCTGTTGATGTTACTGGGTTATTGAAGGGATAACTGCTGACAATACTAGTAACCAACACAACTTTATCAGATCAACTCTGCTCTTTGTTCTGACTCAGTTCTAATTGATTCTCAAATTTGCAATCACATATGTGAAAAGTTTCGATATCACCATCTAAATGATCAATGAATAACGAAGATCGACTAACCCTTTCGATCAATTTTCTATGCTCTTCGTCATAATCAGCATACACAACGCCCGAGATACGACCATCGTACATTCTATACTCGCTCATTTTGTCGTACATTTCAGCTTCACTCAAAATTGCGTCCGGTGGCAGACCACGTTCCGGTAGAAATTTGTAGAATTCCTACAGTGATACGTGGAATACAACGAGAAACAATCAAACGAATGCAACAAATGATAAACGCAATATAGGAAATGTTAAGAACATAAATCAAAAAATGAATTGACTTAATGCAATCCTCGAATAACGAAATTATTCAAAATTACTTCAACCGCACAAATACGTTGAAATGAGGAAATTTTCAATTGAGGATCTGAATTTCGCCTCAATTACAAAATCGCTGCTCGAATCAGAATGAACAAATGAACCTTCTTGATATCTGTTTGATGTATGGTCTCCTCCAAATCTTTTCTGGCTTTTTCCATTTCTTCTTCAATTTGACGTTTTATCCATGGAATATTTCTAACCGCAGAAAAGATCTGAAAGCTACCATCATTCGATGCATACAACTAAAGCCACAATAGACATTATGACTGATTCTGTTGCTATCCAATTAACAACGTTTGAGTTTACCATAACAGACACGTAATAGAACGGAATTCACCCCAATCTATACCTCTTCTTTAACTTGAGAATTATTCTTCAACACTATCTAAATTCTGAAAATTCTTTTCAACAATTCCCTCTCCTTCTACGCGATAAATAAATACAAATACAATATGCAATTGACATGAAATCAGCAAATAAATAGGCAAACTAACAAAAGCTCTGATACGTTGCACAAGAGTTCGATCAGATTTCATAAGTTCTTTGAACCAAATTGCCAGGAACACCATCGATAGTGTGTACGAAACAATCTGCCATGCTTCCAAGTGGACGCACGCTCGATTGAATGCCATACGAGAGTCATCGATTGCCTGTGATATCAAGCGCCATGTTTGACCACCGCTCGGTGGCCACAAGTCTCCCATTTCTGTAGATATCTATCATTAGACAGGTACACTTATCAATAAATACAATTAGGAAAGCACCGAACAGCTGGAAAGTATGATTTCTTCCAGCTAAAGTAACTGGAACACGAAACAACTGAGATAATTGGAATTTCCTAAGCTGACTGACTAAAATCCATCATCCAACAAAAAAAATCAATTACTGAAATTCCGATTCGAACGGATTCTTCGTCATTCAATTAAAAACAATTTGTATATGTTTACTGCTTATTTTCATCTTCACTCAAATATTCAAACAAAAACATTACAGAAAAATCAAAAAATTATTAAGGCATAACCACCACTAAAGAGTAACAACAATATCCGACAAATAAATTACAAGAGATCAATTATACACACTTCAGGTTGAATCTAAACAAACATCTTACGGAATGAGGTGAGCATCGTGCGAATACCGACGGAACAAAAATTAATACAACGATGAAGTGATAACAATAGAATATCAAAAATGAATTAGCTAATCATCGGTATTACATCGCAATAGACCAACAGACTATATCACAGTCGTCTAAACAAGCTTCAATGGAACCACAATATGAGGTTCTCGGGCCATCAATACGTTCACCTCTGCATCCACAATGTACAGTGGAACGATAAAGAAGATTTCAGCAGACAATGATGATTTTATAATAAACTATGTCGTTACGCTTTCTTGCGCATTCCTTGAAATATATCTAAATACTGATTCAGAGTATCCAGGGCACTATACGGTTCGGGCTGTATTTTCTGCAGAACCGGTGGCTTAGAATCGACTCGGTCCGGAAAGAACATAGCCACGAATTCCGAAAGCATTGCCATACACTGAGACGCCACACAGGATGCCGCATATTCCACTTCAACGACCACACCTTTAAATGCGAATGAATTTCATAACTCGTTCATAGTAAACCTTTATTCTACCTAGGAATAGTAAGCGTGAAGATATCATACGTATCGCAATCTGCTCCAAGATATCATACTTGTCAAAGATTCCACTGATGATGCGACTATCAAAAATTAATCGAAATTATTCAATCGCTTGAAGGAACATCAGGACATGTTTCATTCGATTATGGAAAACAACAACGAAATTCGCATCCCACAAAACTTTCATGATTCTATTCCACGTTTCTGTCATATCTTTGGAACTCAATTTGGTTGATACAAATGAATATGATGAAGTAACTGACCTTTACTCACCACTCCCATAGTGGCATTACCAACACGAATCATAAAGTCTTTCAGTACATACTCAGAACCGGAAACCTCAAATTTACCGGCTGTATCTTGAACTAATCCTGAGCTGAGTTTTGACAGGATCAGATCGAAGCCTCGATCTGAAACCGCTCGTGGACACATCTTTACGGATCTCTCGGTCGGAGCTGAAACTATGAGAATGCACAAACTAACGATACAACAAGCAGTGTAGAGTGCAGTGAGTGAGAGGTACTCCGTATTTTCTTCACTCTTTAACGAGCAGTCAGTGTAACGTCGATCGAACCGATATCATGCCTTCTTACACATAAGCCAATGGATATGTCAATGAAAGCATAATAAGATGGTACTGCTAATCATATTTGTGCCGTTCATATGCCAAACCCACCTCACCCTCATCACACTTCTATCAGCGCGTGATTAGCTACAGCTATCACACATACGTGCATATCTTCTCATAACCAAATCAAATTTGCTTCTAAAAAATGAAACCAGTTCTTGAAAAGTGTGTCAGCAAGTGAACTGAGAATAAAAATTCCACTCGATATACTCATAACTATGAGGACAATAATGCCAGCAACTGCAATATGCGTCCCAAAATTCTCCTTCAATTATTTGCAAATGAAAAAGGATTCAAATAAGTGAAGAATGAGGTTTAAAACAAACCAATTGTGAATGTGCTATGAGGGTAGTGTGAATGATGAAGAATGAAAACATGGTTGATGGCACCGTGAAAATTATCGCTCGGCTTATATGGCGTTGAATCGACCGAAAAGACACCTACTCGTTCGGCGCCTTGTCCTTCGATAGCACGTTCTATTGACTTCACACTATGATCATACTCAAAAACCCTGCAACGTGCAATTGATCAGTCTCAAATGGAGACTACCTCTTGAAAATAAGTTAAAATTCAGACAAAAAATAAAAATAATATGGGCATTATATATGAATCCACCAATCCATTTGCTGTACTCGATAAAATGGATAATACGTCAAAGAATTAATCATACCATGAGACACCCATTTTAGTGCTGAACTGAAATTGCTGCGTGAATATACAGCTGTACTGATCGATTCGGTTGACTTCAACAATATCATAAATGAGTCATTAATTGCAGGAACCTGAATGGTAAGCATGAGAATACTTTTACGACAATTACTCAACCGAAAACAATTACAATTTAAGAAAAGATCGTCAACAATCACAAATTATTTAGCAAGAAAAGTACTAAAACTATGGCATTACGAAGTTAATATCCGATCAAAGTATAAGTCCGACTAGTCGCAGGTGCAGCTGAACCGCAAACTATTAAATCTATCGAACAGCATGCGTGAAGTTAAATCGTACACTAGCTGATAAATAAACCTGATCGTGAGAAAGTGCTTTCTGTGTGGTAACGTAAAAAATTCGGTGACACACTGAAAAAAAGGTAGTCTCGCCAATGGAGGAGAGATAATATCGCCAACTTATATTAGCGAGCGTTTTCTCGGAAGAAGCAATGAAAAGAATCGATATGAAGTAATATTTTCATCATTCGTGTTCAACTAAACTGAGCTATACATTGTGAACTGAGAAATCAGCTCGTCTTGCATAAGAAACAATAACAATAATAATAGTTTACCTCTCTAATGATGGACGCCTGAACATTGAAAATAATTTTTCGCAATCGCACCATAAACAACTGACACTGAACGACGTCATTTCCGCTGCAGAGGTGTTTCAGAATCAGATGCAAATATTTTTCAGGATATTTGTCCCGAATGCTAAATTGAGTTCATTCATGAACTTGTGCAGTGAATATATTCGAAAGAATCACAAAAAGCGAATAACGTTTACCAACAAGTCAACATCTCAATAGTGTAATTCAGTGATGGACAATAGTGCGCTATTCCGCTACTTCGCTATTAGCGAAATAGCGAAACAGCTGCTTCGCTAGTGGCAGATTAGCCATTCCGCTACATCGAAGTATCACTGTAGCGCGGTTTTCCTCATCACTGTTGTGAATGTTTTGAAATGAATGAGTTCAGATTGGACTATTGTTCGATCAGGCGGTCTCATGAAATGTTTTATTCGAGTCAAGTTTAGAACAGCAAAAGAGTGACTGAATTAAGGTCGGATAATCTTACGATCAGGCGATTATTTTTCTATCCATCAAGGGAACAGAACAATCATTGAGTAAATTAATACTATTTTAATAATAATAACGGAACGTATTGAAATATTTATTCATCACATCTGACACATGCAAACTCAGAATTAACGTTGTCATCGGAAACGAAATATTTAAGGAATATTCACAACGATGTAAAATATTGAATGTGAAACGATTTTTTCCGGAATTTACACAAAGCATTTATAACACAATATCGCAATTTCCTTGAAAGAAATCTATTGGCACCACTATGACACATAGCCACATCCATATAAGCACCTACATACTGGACGAAAAAATTTACAAAGCAAATTCATGACTGATCATGAAACAAACGCTATGGTAAACTTAATCGAATGATCACTGAGCTCTAGCTTTGACATGTGCCGATTCGATTATGTTAATCTCATGTCGAGCTTGTCCTTATTCAGTTGATTGAAAGTTGTGATTTCTAATCGTAAGATGTTCATGAACTCATTGTTCTTGAACCGCGATATGTTCAGGTAAACTCGGCCCATCCATCAGCCCGCATTGAATCATTCGGCTGTGACCAAATAAAAGCTGATAACTTCGCCATTTCAGTTCAATTCGTTTGAATCTGATTCAATGTGAATGATGAGTGACCGATAATTTTGAGAGTGTTTCGCGTGATTTGACTGAACTGTGGAACAATGTAATGGGATTGCTTCACAAAAGTTCGCTGACACGATCAGCAAGGAATGTGAGCTTCATAGCGGCTTGGATGGATCCTTGCAGTTTGAGAGAACCGCACATGTAAGCGTGCATTGGTGAGATACGTTTCTTGACAATATCTTCGAACAACGAACGATTCAACTGAAAAGTAACGTCAGCATTCGCGTATCGTCCACGATTGCAACAACCCGAACCATTCTTCAAGTCCAAATAGAAATCACCGACATCCTCGCATTCAACCTGAAAGCAATTTCTTGGTTGAAAATATCATGTCAGCCGAATGGTTTCATTTAATTGAAATAACTTATTCCATCAGTTGAGTTAAACGCGTTTCTGAATTCACATAGTCCATCGTATAAAATGGCCTCGTTTGATTCAGTCTTACAGTTCGACAAACGGTATTGAAACACTCATAAGTATGCAGTGGAGATAAGGCATGGAGCGTGACTTTGGGCAATAGATCATAGGTTATGCGAAGAGGTTGCACTCTGTGGGTGCATTCCTGTGTGGAAGAAGCACTTGTAAAACAACCTGAAATGCGTATCCAACAAGTGCCACAAGACGCTCATCGATGACCATCGATATGGTTCCCAACAGATCATCGATCTCAGTTAGTGATAACTTTGGTGTTTCATTACTGGGCATTCCATCAGTCGATGGGATATCTCCTTTTTTGACGTTCTTATTGATATCAATATTATTGTTATTATGATTCTCATTTTTGTTATCGATATTATTCGAATTGAAATCAATCAAATCGTTTTCGCTGGTTTTATGTTCACTGATAAATTCTTGAACTGTTGTATTGATCGTCTGAAGAACTTCATTACCAAACTCTGATTTGATCAGCTGAAAATTACCGAAATTTCGAAAGTGCATGACTAGTCTTCCAGTTTCTTTTAAGCGATACAACTTATGTCTTGTTGCGAAGTTTTTCGAGAGTACTATCGAATTTTGACAAAGCAATGAGGCTGTCGATGAATGCGCTATTTTTGTGGTTTTTGCACGAAATTAGGTGAAATAGAAAAGAAAATTTGTCAGAGAAACGAATGTAAGGCAAACGAAATGATGCGGATGAGATATTTTAAATTTTAGAATATTTCATTCAATGAACCAACACTTTTGAACGTTGATATCGCCATGTTTTCGCCTTCTTTGATTACTTTCACTTCGGAAATTTCAATTTTTGTGATTTGCACACCCCACGATACAGTAAATGCACTCATCTCTTCCTTAAACAAAACAATTATGAAACCTAGAAATCACTACAAATCACTAGTGGATTCGTTGCTTTTGTATTCGCTCCTGTCGAACTGCGCATCTCTTGATCGCCTGTTGCTCTTTAACAAAGCTACGGGGAAATTAACGCAATGCTACCGCAAACAGTTTTTTACCTAAAACTTGGTGAAATTGCAAAACGTAGCAAATGACAACGAAAAAAATGATCTGTTGTTTGAATTAATTACGACTACAATACTCAATATCGTCCGGTAATAATTCAATCAGTTGAATAAAGTATTCATCACCATCTCATCAATCATCAATTCGTCAAACACTAAATGATCTTCAGTGAGAAGAAGCGATCGTCGCGATATTTTGATGGTGAATAAACTAGTGAAATGTAAATTTTTCAAAGAAAAATGAAAGAATCAAACGATTGAAACCTGAAGAATGCCGGCTATTTGTGTACGTGACTGTCCACTGATAATCTCACAAACACGTCTCTTGGAAACGATTCGATAAAGACTCGTGATGGCCAACGTTCGAATTGACTGATTCCGTTCGCGTACGGTGCATACCGCTGCCAATGCGTCTTTTATCTGAACACCATTTCTTGTTTTACGGATTCAGCTCGACTGATAGTCGAATTTTCGACTGCATAAAAATTTTCACAGACAACTCTGTGGCAGTCGATGAATTTAGTTTGCTTTCGTCGTGAAAATTCAAGCTACATTGTTCAATGCCCAAACGAAGTATAATTCATCAGAATGTAGGGGGAATGATAGCCAACTTTCGATCAGCCGAAACTTTCATGTCATGATATGTCATTATTTAGCTTATTTGTATCACCTTATCTATTTGTTATTCAAATTTAACTCGGATAACATCGCATCAAAACCTGATCATTCACGACAGTCACCATGAGCTTCATTCAAAATTCTCTTGGTGACAGATGTGCTACACGTGGACTAAGTACCAGGTTAGATTCCCCAGAGCAGATCTTTGAGTTAGCTTTGATAATCTCATAATGAGACTGGAGTGAGAAGCGTGCGTATGAGCTTACTGCGAGGATCGGAGAACTTTTAAGACTCTCGCAACGATTAAATCGAGTAATTCTTATGCTGCGTGGATTATGAGTGAATTTGATATTGATCGAGATGAACGTCACGCTTCTGCGTTACGATATCACGAAATGAATTAGTGCATAAACTGAATCGAACTCGTACATAAAATGATTATTAATGGGAATATCTTATTAACTGATATAATAACATTTGTCATTATTTATGCATTGGTATGCATGTACATTGCGGGTACTTTATTTTTATGACAGTTGGAGTGTATTCGACCGTTGAATTGAAGCATTCGATAATATTATCTTTAATAAAACTATTCCTCAACATCCAACAAACTCATTAATATTCATTGCTACTTGCCATTTTGTAAGCGTTTTTCACATAGTTCTCAGTATTAGCGTCTTTAAATGACAAAAAAAGTACATTAATTATTCCAATACTGTGTGATCATTCGAATGAATAATAATACGCAAAAACGTCCGTCCCTTCCCTTAATTTCTTCCATACACAGATACTAGTGAAAAATGAATTTTTCCAATTCATGAAAACTACTGTTTGAGTTCATTTGCAATGAAATTTGTAATGTGTTGTATCAGTTAAATGATTTTGAAACTTTGAACAAGATTAAGGCACGAAGTTCAACGTAAGGACGAAACCTGTAAGAAAACAGTAGCACCAAGCTCGACCAAGCCTCGATCACTGGTGATGATTTGCATAGGAGGAACATTGAAAGCGTTCACTCTGAGATCAACTTTAGTGCACGTATCAATACAAGGCAATATCACAGTTGCACCTGGACCACGCGTTTTTTGTGCTCGACCTAGACGAAGCACAACCAACCTCTCGAAGTCACCAACGAACTGCAATTCATAACTTCAATGAAATCATCATAAAATCTTAAATTTTCGTTTTACTTTTTCAGATACGCACAATTTTCGATTCGAATGCATTTCTTTAGATGCGATGTTTTTGAGTAAATTCATAAACCATAAACGGAAGAGGACGGAATGTTTGACGGATTTGTATCGGTTCATAAATGAAAGATTTGATTTTTTTTGCAAACAGATGAGAACCTTCAGATGAATTTATATCAGTTCATAAACGACCATTTGCATAAGACGTGATTTTTTTGTTGCAAAAAGATGTTTACATTAAATCAACAAAAAGCGAACCTTTAGTGAGAAGAGTAATGAGAGCGGTAAGGTGAGTAAAAATATGAGAAATGATAGTGCTACAAAAACACTCTCGATAGCCGAGGTTTGCATAGAAGGCGATTCAGCAATTGGTAGGCTGAACTGATTTCGATCTGAATATGTGAATCGTCCATAACGAGCACCAAACTGCAATCATGCGAGCATTTATATTTCTTTATTCATCACATACACCCTAATTTCTCGCTCGACATAATTCTCCCTGATTGCAAACTGCCCCCTCGAATTGCTGGAACCATGTGATCGGATCTGACACAGTCATATGCCATAAAGTCCCCATCCCTCCCCACATTCTTCGAGACAATACCGCGATAGCGCTAAATTCCTACGTAATTTTCAACAAACTACTCGATGAACATCCGATGTTTATTTCCTGCTAACGTCCCTCTTTTCTTCCTCCTCCTCCTCCTTATTCTGCAAAGCATTCATCAATAAGCAGCAATAAAGATAAAGATATTGCCGCTATGATAGACCTTATTGGAGAGCAACAATAAAATTCCGTTAACAGTATGGATTCTTCGTGATGATTAAAAAAACACGCACCTGATTACGATAACGTTTCGGCGCTTCATATCCCATATTGTCTAAATCGTTATAGTCCGCATAAGTGAAAGCTGATTTGTACTTTAGACGCCAGTCCTCTTCCTCGTCCTCTTCTCGTCCGTCTTTCTGCTCGGCTCGAATCTGCTCACTTGTTGTGGATTCAGAAGCACCGATGTGGCCGTCATTGAATGACGTAGCAAAATGAACCCGTTGCATTATTCAAATTGCAAAATGCGTTGTTCAAATGAAAACACCATCACATTAGATGCAAATTTCTCGTAAAACATCAAAGTTGTTCACTGCAATTGCACACCACCACTTTACTCAATGAGGATGACGACGCTCATTCACTGAAATAAATTCCAATTGAAAATATAAAATTCAAAAGTCAATGTTGGAAAAAGTTGGAGAATTTTTTCGTCGCACTGTGTGTATTATGGTTCACGCGATTTCACGTATTTTTATGTAGTTGTGAATTATTTAAGGCGTTAAGATGGGGTTTTTTGGCACGAATCTATTCGATTCCTTGGCTTCAAACAGTGGAATCATTCTGTGATGAAAACAGGATGAATGATCCATCTATTCATCAACACACAAATTATGAATCAGGCGATCAAAATAGTTGATCGTTGCTGAACGAGGAAATTTAAGTGATCGAATGGAAATCAAATGAAAAGCAACTGACACTATAAACTGGGAGAAAAAAGTTCAAGATTTTACTCAAATATTTTATTCTAAATATTGGAACAGGAAATACTGGTGTGTTCACATCCGCTTAAAGATTGAATTGAATTCGTTGAATCGCAGCGCAGCGGCTTGGATAGGTGAAACTCAATGAAAGGAGAGACTGCAGACTATTTGCTTGCAGTTGTTCAAAGGGTACAATTGCTGCTGGCATTGATAAGTGCTGTGAGGTGATGAGAAGATTGATTCAATAACAACAAATTGCACTTCAACCTTTCAAATGATGCAGTTCAACGTAAAATTCCCTACAATTAATATTCGAATCGAATGAGCATATTTGAAAAATATTCAAAGCAATACGCTCGGTGGTTGTTGCCAGATGAATGCCGATGTTAAAACTATAACAACGATAGAAGAACTGGCCACGATCGATCGTTACGACGAAACCACTGAATAAAGATGTATTGGTTAGTGTATGATGGGTGGAATGAATCGACGGACGGACGATATGTGTGCATAGGACGAACGTTAATCGCTTTGCCATAGGCGTTTTACTGGCTCTTGCTAGCTAGCTATCCTTTCTCTGCTATGTCCGCTGTTTCTACGGCTCTTCCTCACTCTGCAAGCTGAAGATCGAAGTATGTTCGCCGTTGTTCTAATGATCGCTACATTCAAGCACGTAACATCTTTGAAGTGCTTTCAGTCAATTCGATGGATTAAACCGACGATATAAGTTTAATACGAGTCAATTAGTTATACAGATACAATCAAATTGAAGACTAACGGAATAGAATTATCAAGTCCGGGCACGCTATTGGGAAAGGTAGCGCCGCTAATCGCTAATTCATTAGAAAAAATATCTTTGTTTCGCTAAAAATAATTAGGTACTAGCGTTGATGATGGAAAAGTAACGAAAACGGTTCGTTAAAGTGCGGTTAACTGAAACAGTAGCAGTTATATTAGCTAAATCGCTACTCAGCAAAATCAGTTCGCTAATCGCTATACTCAAAGCTTACGTCCGAAAAATGCAATCGCACTGTTGATTCGTTTGGGAAAAACTCATTAGGCCATCAAGCAGCCGAAATTTTCATTTCATTATTCAGCAACAAAAAATCGTTTTAACAATAAACACGAATCAGCAGTAAAAATAAACTTTAAAAATTTGGGAAAAAAGGAATCAAACGACGACAACAGAAATCAAAAATGAAAAGCAACCAACTGACAGCAGCCTTGAAACCTTGAGGTGATATAGCTAATTTCATAAAGGTATCTCAATTAGCGCAGTGGGGCTCGTTTAGTAATATGATGATTACCATCTTCAAGCTAACGGTACTCTCAGGTTTGCTCAGTAACATAACAGTTTCTGAAAAATAAATATCTTCCCGGGCGAAACTTCGAGATGCTGAAGATATGGCATCATCAAGAAGTATGATCGTCTGCTAATTAGGGTCGCAACATATTGTGATGATTGATTCGCCCGTGAAGATATTTATTTTTCAGAAACTGCCGTATTACTGAGCAAACCTGAGAGTGCCGTTAGCTTAAAGATGATAACCCTCGTGCCATTATAGCAATGTATAGATCGGCCTATAGTGATACAAAGTATCTAAACGAGCTTCACTGCCCCAGTTGAGATACTCGTCACATCGGCAACCATTTCCCCTATAGTGTTGGAATCGCTCAACTACATGACATACATGGGTTACCTGAACTGCATCTGAGGGAAGTATGCAAAATCGCTCGACAATATATATATATATA